GGCGCTCAGGGCTCATTCCAAGCATGCTAACCAACTCTATCTGGTGACAGGGTCACAGAGATGCCACTGCCTGTCCTAAAGTGGTGGCTCAGGACTCAGGTCTGCCCTCCACCTGGGCTGAGACCTCCAGTACTCAGCCTGGAGCACTCACCTCAGAGTCCGACAGCTTGCGGAAGTTGGGCGTGATGTAGAAGAGGATGCCTTCCTTGGCCCCGGGCAGGGTGACCCCGCGGAAGAACAGGATGATCAACATGATGTAGGGGTACGTGGCCGAGAAGTAGACCACCTGGGAGGAAGGTGAGTGCCGGTGGCATCATGCCCGCCAACAGTGCCAGCGCTTCCCGGCCCCCATTTCCCCTACAGCCCTACCCTTCCTCCAGGAAGTCTGCCGGGATTTCCTAACCTGATCTGCTTGGTTTCTTTTCTTTTTCTTTCTTAGAAAGAATTATTTGATTGAACTTTATTTACTTACATATTTTTCATTTGACCACTTTTCTAAAGCCTCTCCTTGGAGTCTGAAGTCACTAGCTCAGCACCTGATTTTTCCCTTCCCCTGTCCCTTTGCTTTTTTGACTTCAAGTTCCCTCCTATTGCCCCAACAACAGAAGTTACACGGAGGACAGCCCTCGCGCTGCTTACAGCTCTGCTCGCCCAGGACCTGGAACAGCCTGGTATACGGCAGACAGTACATGCTGACAAACACACATGATTGTCTGTGACCACGGGAATGGCCTTGGAGACTTCTTTGCATACACAATTGACCACATTTTCTTTTCTTTTTTAAGGTTTTATAGTGCACATGCATTCACCAGAGAGAGAGAGAGACAGAGAGAGACGGTGAGAGAGAAAGTGAGAATCACCCCCCGGGGGGATGGCCACGCGCAATCCCTTCTCCTCCATCCTCCTCCTGGGACTTTGGGCATGCACACACACGTGCCTGGCGTGATCTTCAAGATGCCAGGTCCGAGACTCACACCACGGTTGGCCATGTGGGAGTCCAGCACCCTCAAGCCACCTGTGGACCCTGATCATGTTTTCTTACAAAACGAGGCTCCCATGGTGTCCTTGTCTTTTCTGCTTAATATGATTAAAGTTAAAAAACACAGAGCATTTCGCGTAATGGTTATGTCGCTGGACTCCCATGTAGTCGACTGCGGTTCGAGTCCTGGACCCGATGGCTTAAACTCACGCCGGGCGCGTGTGCATGTGTGCCCAAGATCCTGAGAGGAGAATGTTGGAGAAGGGATTGCGGCGTGGCCATTCCCGCTGGGGGGCAATTTTCTCTCTCGCACATGCCCTGTAGCAAAAACCTCTCCAAAAAAAAAAAAAAAAAACCAACCAAACAAAAAAAAAAACACACAGCATGTGCAGTTTTGCTTACTAAACACCTATGTGTCATCATGAGTAACAGGATGGAGGGGCCGGGTCTTTCCGTGTGAGTCGAGGAGCCTGCCCAACCTCTAGGTTGGACCAGGAATCGACCCTGGGCCTCCCATGTGGTCCCGAGCTGCAAAGTGTAGATTGTTAGCAGTGTGTGCACCAGAACTGGGCCCGGTTTTGTTTGTTTTGTTTTGTTTTTCCTGTCAGTGGGCATGTGGGCTTACCAGAAAGGAAGGGGGAAGAAACAGTAAGAATGAGAGTGAAAGCACCCTCCCGGGGAGGGCATGAGGACACTGCAACCCCCAGTTCCCCATCCCTTCCTCCCATCAGGATCTGGGCATGGCGTGTGCATTACGTGCTGCTATGTTCTTCAGGCTCCCGGGCCGGGATGCAAACTGTGCTGGCCACGTGGGATCTGGCCTCTGTGCACAGCGCTGTGCTACCAGCCTGGCCCTGTAATGTTTTTGTTTTTAGGTTTTTGTCATAGGGTGTGCATGCTGGCTGGAGAGGGACAGGGAGAGACAATGAAAGGGAACGTGAGAAATTGCCCCTCCAGGAAGGATGGCCATGCTGCAGTCCCTTCTCCTCCATTCTCCCGGGATTTGGGGCACATGTGAAAATGCACCTGGCATGAATTTCAAGCTCTCAGGCCCAGGACCGGAACCACGGTTGCCCATGTGGAAGTTCAATGCCTTAACCACTATGCCACCTGCTGGCCCCCAGCCCTGTGCTTCTTAATGATACAAGACAGCACCTCAGGAGGCCCCACCGTCCTTCCTCAGTTTCCCCACTGTTGCTGTTTAGGTTACTTCCAATTTCCTGTGCATCTAAATCGTACAACGTTAAACGCCCTGCACATAAATCTTTACCTACAAATGATAACACTGGGGCCAGCAGGTAGCATGGTGGTAAAGGTGCTGGACACTCCTACATGGGCAACCATGGTTCAAGTCCTGGATCTGGTGGCTGGCTTTCTCACTTTCCCGTTCTCTCTGGTCAAATCAAAATAAATGAATGAATAAATAAAATTAAAAAAATTTATTATACTACTCTTGGGAACATTTTCTAGAAGCAGAGTCACTAAGTAAAAAAGTAAAAAGGCTTTCGATCCACACTGCCTAATCGCCTTCTAGAACCACATCATCCAGCAATATAGTGGTTTCCTCATGCCAGTGCTGAGTAAAATCATTTTATAAAGTTATTGTTTTTGCCAAATTGATCATTAAAAGACTGCTATCATGGTATGAAATGACATTTCTTCTTCTTTTTTTTTTTTTCCAGAGATTTTTGCTATAGGGCGCGTGCGCTCACCAGAGAGCCGGAAAGAGACAAGGAGAGGACGTCCAGTGACAGCCATTATGTCACCTGCTGGTCCCCTGAAATGACATTTCCTTGCTCACAGAGAGCAAATGGCGAGTTCAATGGCCTTTGTGTCTCTGAGTCAGATGTGGCTTTGTGTCCTGGTCGCATGGACTCCTCTGGGTTAGCGTCATCTCCCTGGCTTGACTTTGAGGCTCTCTGGGGTTAGGAAAGGTACTCACAATCTACTAGAAATCCACCGTACTTGGAATGTGGGACAAGCGATCAAAATCACCCATCCGTGTCACCTACGGGCTGTGTGACTTTGGGTCCATGTCTTAACCTCTCTGAGCCTTGCTTTCTCTTGTTGGGAAGATGGCTGCTATTCCGTATGAGGGTATGACACATGCTTTGGATGGGGCTGAGGTCTTCCACGTTTCCCATACAGCCAGGCACACAGCTGGTGTTCAATCCACGCTCGCTGACCAACAGGTGGACACCCTCAGACGATGCAGTGAGAGGGGCCCATCCTGCTGTCCTTGGGAAGGGGTCAGTCTCCTGCTGTAGCAGAACTCTAGATATCACCCCAGAATGACTATATTGATGCCGTATATGGAGTGCCTCCTATGTATGAAAGAGAACTTTAATCCCAGCCTTCTGCATGGACGGTCCCCTCGGTCTTTGTGACAACCCTGGGGGGCACCCTTCTCGTGACCCTTCTGCAGATGAGGAGACCGAATCTCAGCGAGGCGAGATGACTTGGGCGAGTGCACACAGCTAGGAACAGGACGCTGAGCTCAAGCTTTCTTCGAAAGCCTTTCAACGGTATCTTTCTGCTTCTTAGAGTTGCCCTGGGAGATACCTGCCTCCTCCTCTGATCTCCCTGGTCCTAGGGACGGATCAGAGATGTTTGGACACCAGCCTTGATCGGAGAACCTCCCGGCTCCCACCAGCCTGGAGCAGGGCCGCCTTCCTGCAGCTCTGCCTATGGCCGGTGTGGAATCTGTCCCGGCCCCGCCTTGCTCATTTCCACCACCTTTGCCGGAACCTCTCATTCACTCCTCGGGCAGATCTGACCGCCCTGTCTCCAGCCGTCAGCAGCCTGAATTCCTCCTCTGTTCTTTGCTGACGGTGAGGTGTTTCCTCCAGGCCAGAGCCAGTGAGAAACCAGCCCTCTGCTCTCCCCGACCCCTGGGGTAGGCTTGAAAGGGGGAAGAGTTGGGGGTTGAGCCTGTTCTCTTCCTCCGAGGTGGATCAGTCATCTCCCCAACGTCCCCCAGGGGACACCCCACTTGAGCACTGCTTTATGCTCGCTGATAATAAAAACAAGAGCAGAGTCTAGACAGCAGTGCAGCAGTAACACAGCACTCTGTGAGGCCAGCCCGCATGGGAAGGTTCCGAGTTCACGTCCTGAGACCTCCCTAGGTATGATGACAGTGTGCGTGCCCATGAGCAGGGGCAGCCCGAGGCTGGGTGTGGATCGTGGCACCAATATCCTGTTGGGGGTGCTTGTCTCTCTCTCTCTCTCTGTGTCTCCCTCTGTCTCTTTAGCTCATAGAAGAAATTTAAAAATAATCCAAAACTCAGGGCCAGCAGGTGGCATGGTCCTTAAGGCACTGGACTCTCACATGGCCAATAATGGGTTGCGTTCTGGACCTGGTGACTTGCTTTCTCACTTTCTCACTTTCTCTCTTTCTCTCTCTCTGGTGAGCACGTATGTCCTACAGCAAATAAAAATAATAATAAATAAAATTAAATACATAGTTATTAAAAAAAAAAAGGAAAACTCCACTTGCTAGGTGCTGAGGGTTTACAAAATCAATCACCACCTCATTTGATTATTTTGGAAAAGTGTAATATTATTATTTTATAGAGAGGTTTTTGCTATAGGGCACATGTACTTGCCAGAAAGACAGAAAGTGAGAAATTACCCCCCAGGAGGCATGGCCATGCTGCAATCCTTTCCATTCCATTCTCCTCTCAGGATCTTGCACACACATGCACACACGCCTGGCGTGAGTTTGAAGTCACTGGGTCTGGGACTCGAACTATAGTCAACTACATGGGAGTCCAGCCATGTAACCATTACTCCATCTGCTGGTCCCAAGAAGTGTAATCATTAGCCCCGTTTTACAGAGCAGGAAATTGACTTGCCCAAAGTCACACAGCCAGGAAACAGCTGAGTTGGGATCTGAACTCGGGACTGCTAGAACACAGAGCCTAAGTATTTAGCCACTACGCTATCCACCTCTGTTCCTCGAGGGTGTGCAGGAAAGGTCTTCAGCTCTGGAGCCCTGTCCCTAGAGGAAGTCTGGGAGAGAGCAGATGCCCAGGCACGGTTAGTCCCATAGCCTCGAGTAACTTCTGCCCTTCGCCGGGTGATGGCTCAGTCAGGCCCAGCGGAACCTCATGGACTCACCGTGAGCCTGCCCGGGTGCCAGTCACCCTCGGAGGTAGGCAATGTCATTAGTCCCATTTTTACAGGACAGGAAACGGAGGCGCGGCACGTTAACTCAGGTTAGATGGCGTCCCTGGGAGTTTCAGAGCAGAGGCCCCTGTGTGGGCACGTCCCCTGCCTGCCCCCTCCTGTCCCCCCTGTGCACACATGTCCCTTACCTTCCCAGTCCAGCCGACCCCTTTCCAGATACAGAAATACACGAGGATCCAGGCGATGGCCAGGGTGATGGCCAGCCCCCGCCCCGGCTTATCCAGCCCGTCCGTCATCTGGTGCATGTTACGCCTGGTCGAGCAGAGGAGGGAGAGGGGAGTCACACCGGGCTGGTGGGTGCTGGGGTGGCCCGGGTGCCTGGGCTCAGACTCGCACACACACACACACACACACACACACACACACACACCTGTGCCTGCTGCATGGCGGCCGCTGTGACCCGGCTGGATGGAGACCGCCAGCCCATCGCACTCATCGTGGGAGGAGCCGTGTGGCAAGAGGTCAGAGAGCAGGACCCGCCGGGCTCCGTTCTCCGCCATCGTGCTCCCTGGGTGGCCACGGTGTCCTTGCCCGGGCCCTCGCCATGAGGCTTGCTGTGCTCTCCCTCTCCAGCCCCAGGCATCCTAAATCGCCAGTCTGATCACGACCCTCCCCTGCGGCGCATCCTGTGAGGGGAAGCGCTGCCTCCTGCTCAGAGCGCAGCCCCACCGCCCCGGCCGGCCTAGCGGCTGCTCCGGCTTCACAGTCCCCTCTCAGCTCTGACTGCAGCCTTCTTATGCTCTCATCAGAAGGATAAGAGCCTCCCGGGCACCTGCCTGCTCCGACCTGCTGATCTGCACCTCTGGCCACACCTGCCTCCTCTACGCTGCTTCTCACCTGAAGATGCCCCTCCTCACTGGGGAGACCTAGGGGTCTCTTGCCCCTCCCTCCTCCTAGCACTGGTCACCAGGCCTTGCCATCACCTGCTTGCATGGGCTTGTCTCCGATCACACCAGCACATAGCAGGTGCTCAAGAAACACCCACCGACTAAATGGCTGAATGAAAAGTCTGAATGTGTGAGAGCCGTGTGCAGGAGCAAAATTTGATTTTTGTGTTAGAGAGATTTTTGTTATAGGGCACAGGCACTTGCCAGAGACACAGAGAGAGACAGAGAGACAGAAAGCAAGATATCACCCCCAAAGGGGATGGCCACACTGCAATTCCTTCTTCTCTCCTCTCCTCTCAGGATCTTGGGCATGCATGCACATAATCCCAGAGGGAGTT